TATATATATAGCAAGTGCCTGAAATCGTCTAATTTACTATATGTATCCTCTTCCACAACAGCACTTAGAGAGGAAAAGAGAGGGTAATGCGGTGACAGTTAACATGCCGATAGGAAGAGTTGGCACAGTGATGGCCCCATCGGTGTGCATCTGCTCTTTGACTGGAAGTGTGTTCTTAACCACGATATGACAAGCACTGCAGTAGAACACCTAGCTGTGTTGTCTTGCAGAAAAGCCTGGATCACAGAACTAGCGGCACAGAATTACAAATCAGCTAAAACAATTGCCACTTATGTTTTGAACCCTCTATTTAGCTGCTTGCCTGGAGTTGCAAGTTAATGAAAATGCATGTACTGGGATCAGGTTTTACATTTTAGACTAAGCCAGTCCATTCATGTATATGACAAAAGTGGTGACCAGCTGTTATTTGAAGCCACCCTATGCCTGCTGACGTCCCTTTTCTCTTCTTTCAGTGGGGCTGAAAGAGAAGATGAAAGCCGTCGGAAAGCGTTACGGAACCTCTGTCATTGAACAGATTGGAGATGATGTTCTAAGCTGGGTAAGCCATCTCATCAGTGCCACCCTCCTCGTCTTCTCATTTCTATTCATGCCTGTATCATGGGAAAATATCTTACAGATTGTCTTTGTTTCTACAGTTCTCCGGACCAGAGGAAGAGAGGCTAAAGCAGGCAGTCGCCACCTTTTGTAGTAATCAGCCCTTTGCCTTGGAGATGATAAAGTCCCTGCAGAAGAAAGATCCAAAATTTTTAAAGATTGTTCAGGTCATTAGAATTTGCGGTTTGTTTTTTTTTGGATTGCTTTCATAACAACCTGGCCTGTAGTTTCAAGTGCATTTCCACTATGGCAATCAAGATTGAGAAGACCTCCAGTATATGTTTGTGTGTTCCTATTCACACAGAATATCTAATCATATTTTTTATCAAATATTTCTCACCTTTTAGATATCTCTCTGGAGCAGGCCATTGGACGGGCAAGCTTCTCTCTACATTTTCAAAGTGACAGGAAACTCTGGCTCTCTCCATAGAAAGACTGGGGACACTCTGAGCTTTCCCTCATTACCATACAATGTTTCTAGATCTTTAACCCTTTGTTAGGACAGATTATGTTCTAATCTAGTTTACAACTGATAATGAGATCTGCCAGCACATTGCAGACAGGGTTAATTATGGTTTCCTCTCCAGCCCCCTTGCAAATCAGAGGAAAATTCAGTTTAGGAAACTAGTAATGTGAGCACACAAGTAATATATGTAAGCAACATTTTTTTTTTTATGCAATGTGAATGGGAACATGTAACAAATATTAAATAGGTGTTATCCCAATTTGGCTTCAAAAGTGGAAATACACTTTAAGGGTTCATTTCCACCAGCCCGTGCACTGTCCCTTGCCCGGAATGCAGGTGATCGCATGCACAAAGCCTCATTGCGTTCTGGGGTGGGAGGGGGCGTGGCAGTGCCATTCATGTCAATGGCACTGCAGACACGCCCGCAGTGTGATTGGCCGCACAGGACAGCATGGTAATAAAATGCCCTGCATTCCAGTGTGGTAGGATCACAAAAAATAGTGCATGCATGATGAGCGCACGGGCGGTGGAAACGAGCCCTAAATCCATTCTCTGGATGTACCCTACTTTATAACAGTGATCGAGAAAAGCTAATCGAGAAAATGCAACAAAAAATAGATAAAAAATAGCCGTGAACAAATACACTGGTTGCTGCATGATATGTGGTTGCACTACCTTACTGCATAGGGGTACATATGTCTGTTCTAACCCCGCCACGTCATCATTGTGATGACAACATAGCTCATGTAGGACTAAAGCAAATAAAATTGTCCTTGTAGTTTGTGACCTTCTTACAGTGAGGTGACCACATTGCAGGATGTGTTAGAAAGTTCTTCATATTTATATAGCAGTTTGGTGTATTTGCAGCAATGTTTTTAGTGAAATGGCTGATGTTTATCTTGCAGTAAATACTGCTTACTGAGGTTCATTTTAATAGGTTTTACACTTTCAGGTAGGAATTAGAAAATCTCTATGGCTGCCTTCCTGCGGGTAATTGGAAAGCGCACTGTGATGGAGCTACTGCCAATCTGCCTGCCTTTTAATTGCCTCTTTAGGGGACATTAATTCAACATAGCATTAAATGAGTACACATACACCACCTAATATATGGCTGTGCCATAATAGATTTGAGATTACATGACCTGTATAGCCTCAGTAACATAACTGATATGCTGCTCATGAAGTGTAACTGCAGTAACATGAGTTGTTCTTGCTGTGTGCTTTCTCACAGAAGTAGTTTGTAATGATGTTTGAAATAAATTGATGGGGCATATAATCAGTCTTGTTAACAATGATGAATGTCTACTTGCAGGATGCCGAAAGTAATCCTCTGTGCCGGCGTTTGCAGCTAAAGGACATTATCCCTACTGAGATGCAAAGGCTCACTAAATATCCCTTACTTCTGGATAATATTGCCAAGTATTCCGGTAGGTTCACATATCCACATTCTCTTAATTGTTGAATACCTATTTTTATAAAAGTGTTTAAAGAAGAATTTCGGGTTCATGCAAGTAACTCCCATTTGGTCCTTTCATATGAATGTTTTGTGCACTTATTTGTGTGTAGGTATTTATGCTCGGGGTTAAGCCATTTGGATTAGTTTACCCTTTTGATTTGTTCAGAAATGCCTCAGCTTGTATAATAGTATTTTGGACAGGGAGCTTTCACAAAGCATATGCAGATCTTTCGGCAAGCTTTATTGATGCCTTTAAAGCGGACCTTTACCCCCTCTGACTAAAAATCACATCAGTGTGCAGCATGCTGATTTAAAATCCTATTACATTTATTAGTTAAACAAACATATTTTTTTCATTTACTTACAAATAGAGTTTATCCACTTCCTGGTCCTTTTTGGCACAAATGATGTAATGTTTCCAAGCATTGCATCCTGGGAATATTACATCAGCAGTGCATTGGTGGGAAATCTCATGAGATCTCAGGGAAAGACATTTTCCTCCCCTAAGATGATGTGTATGGTGACATGTCTTAGAGTTCCAGGAAGTAAAGTGGGATCTAGTAATCTGCCCTTAAAATGGCCACTGTCAGCAGACTGGGGAAGAAAAGAAAAATAAGGCATGCAAAGAATAAAAAGCCGGCAATTATCTAGAAGCATCTGTTTGTAGATTATTACTAAACAATTCTAAAGGTGTCTTGCAACTATGGGTAAAGGTCCGCTTTAAGGTACAATTCAGCTCCAGTTTGGAAATGTTAAACACTTTATGGGAGTGTTGGCTTTCCATTTAAACAATCTGCTAGCAGGCTTCAGTAAGCTGTCAAATCGCAAATGCAATTATCAATTTATAACTAGCTTTAAGCAAAGTGCACATGGAAGGGCATTACATAGTACAAAAAAACATTTCCCAGCACACTCACCAGTCAGTCTGCCGTTTGTTTCACTTGTTGGATTTGGTGTGGGGACACACTGGGGGCTTCAGCTGCCATTGTGATGTGCGGGACTTCTGGTCTGTCCCTGTGCCTTTAAGGAGGTTGGGCTACCTCCTGGCAAACCTGCTCCCAATTTATCCTTTGCTATGTATGCTCCAAGGTGGAGGCTCTCATAGATTAGGATTAGGACCACACTACACAGAGGAACCTTGACGAGGCAGTGTGGCTTCCACATATTTTACAAACGTTGTGCAACTGAACACTCAGACAGTGTAATTCTTTGCAGGCTGGCTGGTAAGTGTGCTGGGAATGTTTGTTTTTGTTTCAGTAAGCTTCAAGTAGTGCTGAAGCTTACCAAATCCTGCTAACTGCTTGTTTAAAGTGATAGTCAGGACTCCTATTAAGATCTGTTTACATTCTTGTACTGGAACTGAACAGTTCTTTAACCAGTTGACATCCACGGTGTTAAACCCCCTTCCCATCCAGGCCATTTTTCAGTATTCAGCGCTGCGGTACTTTGACTGACATTTATTCCGTCATGCAGCGCTGTACTGCAATTAATTTTATACCATTTTTTGGGGACAGATAGAGCTTTATTTTGGTGGTATTTAATCACCACTGGGGTTTTATTTTTTACTATAATTAGGAAAAATGAGACATTTTTTTTTTTTTAAAGTTTTTTTTTTACATTGTTAGGAAACACTTATTATTACCCAGTTTTTTGGTAAAATATAAAAGTCGTGGGTCACGTCGGTTAAATAGACACCAAACATGTCAAGCTTTAAAATTGCGCACACCTGCGACATCGCAGAAAACTACCATACCCAAAATTGGCCTCGCACCGGGCACAGCAGAGCCCGGGATCAGTGGGACAATGGCAGGGGGGGGCAGCGGAGGGGGGGGGTGCCCGCACCGATCGTTGCAAAATACAAGCGATCCGCCGGCTCTACAGCCGGCGGATCGCTTGTATGTTAACAGGCACCGCTGCCTGTTTTTAAATTGCGGTCATTTCCCGCGCGCGAGGGGGGGCGTGTCTGAGTGGACGTCTAAAGACGTCCGCTCAGATCCAGAGAGCTCCGGGCCGGCCGTTTTTTTTACTACGGCCGGCCCGGAGGGGGTTAATGTCATCAAGTTTCAGGAGGAATAAAGCATTGTTTCAATGGGGGGTAAGGGTACCAACAAATGAGTCCACATCTGTATGGGTTAACTTTTTGTAACTTGGCATACTTTTATGGTAATAAATAGGTTACATCTGCCCACATAGTTTAACCATTACTGTTTGAATATTTTTTATGTAGCTACAGGTACCACTGTATAAATAAGTGTTTAGATTTTTCTGATAAAAGAAACATCCCCAAGTCTTATATATTTTGAGACCATCAGCCAGTGGTGCTGTATATAATAATGCAAGACCATGCTGTAATGATTAATCATCTTTTCTTCCAGAGTGCAATAAATGTTAGTGCCCTAAATGAAAATAAATCTTTAATGTTTGTTTACAGTTTTCACTTTACCTAGTGTTGCATGGCGTAGCTTGCTAATTAGTGTAGCAAAAATGCATCTCTTTTTCTTACTGATGACTCATTTGTTTAGTACAGGAATAGGGAGTTAGATGCAGAGATGGTTTCTAATCAAAACTAGAAATGTTTTTCTCTTTTAAAGCTGGTTAGTCACCCAGAAATTTAACATTGGGCGTCTCGGACAAATTCTAAAAAGGTAAATGAGCATATCTGGTGACTTATTCAGATCCCAGTTTTGATTCTTGTGCTTTTCAATTAGACCAACCAGGAGAAAAGAAAAAAGTAGAAAAGGCTGCAGAACAATGTCGGGGGATTCTGAATCATGTCAATCAAGCTGTACGAGAAGCTGAGAACAAGCAGGTGAGCCTTAATGGTAGTGTTGTCTTCAGTGTCTCTCATTTTATGTTAATAACTTACAAATATAATTTTATTAAATATATCTAACCACATGTGATTTTAATAGCATTTTTTGTTGTTAAATATAAACCTTAGAAGAGCACAAAAGACCTCTCTAGAATTTCATAATCTGTTTAATCATTTCAGAGGTTAGAAGATTACCAACGAAGACTTGACTTGTCCTACCTGAAGCCTGGAGAGTATCCTATGATTGATGAACTGAGAGTAAGCGGATTGTTAAAAAAAAAAAACTTCTGTATATCCAAGTATATAATAGCTAGATCACTTCAAGCTAATACCTACTGCTGTAAGATAACCAATCATTTCAACCTATTGGAGACATTCCTTTCTGTATTCCCACCCACAAAGTGGTTCTCCTGGTAGCCGTCTCCTGCGAGGCGAGTGTCTGAGCTTGCAGCCTTATTTTGCAAAGAACCCTTTTAGGTCTTGCATAGGGAAAGAAGATGATAGGGCTCAGGACTTTCTTCTTGCTTAAGGTAGTTTCTACCTTATACCTCAACCCGCATATTGTCCTGCCATCCTTCTACCAGCACAGGGGTTATCCTGGACTGGCATACAGTCCCTTTTTGCCAATTTTCAATCCTATTGCAGGCAGCAGCATACCCTGTAGATGTCCCTCATTGGACTCCAAGAAAATAATTTTTCAGCAAATGCAAAAATCCTATTTTTAAGAAAAAAACGTTTTGAGCCTGTCTTAGAAAACATCTGTGGACACACACACTATGCTTTTTAACAGGGGCTTCCCCATACATTATAAGCCTGCAGGAAACTGATTTGTACCATTTAGCACTGACCTTTTTTCAGCTCAGAGTTAAAAAAAAAAAAGATTCAGATCCATATAGTCTTTTACTACCAATAATGTTTTTGCTGCTGGGTTTTCTTTCTGCCAGTCACCCTGAAAATGATTCTGTTCTTATTACAGTGTGTCATAAGATTCATGTACACACAAGCATTTCCCCATATCTGTTTATGCTAATAATACAATCTTACAGCAGTATGTAAATTCCTGCACTCTACCTGTCTAATAAATCCACATTTTGATTTTTGTTGTTGATTTTGATATTCGTTCATGTTGATGTCGACTGTTTGTTTGCAGAATCTAGATTTGACAAAAAGGAAGATGGTCCACGAGGGGCCTTTGGCTTGGAAAGTGAATCGAGACAAGATCGTTGGTGGGTAAAATCCTTGGATACTTCTGCATGTTTGGCGAGCATAAAGTGAATGTAATTGTTACCGCTGGAACATTTTTAGTTCCAGCGGTAACTTCCTCAAAGAATCCTCAGTATGCTAATGCCAGTACTATCTTGCGTTATAGACAAAGAGGATTGCCAAGCAACACCTTCCAGATGATAAAAGATGTAGTTCCTATGTTATTTATTGTGCAAAGTTGGTTACAGTGTACATTAGAGATGTTCAGATCCCAAGTACAGTTACTTTTCCAGTGACTAGACTAGAGAAAAAAAATCAAAAGTTAGGAGGCAGCTGTCATTTTTTGTGTATCCCTGTTTTAATGTAGAATTTGTTTTTTATATGCTGTATATTTATTAGGGATGCACTGATACCATTTTTTCCAGACCAAGTACAAATACTTGTCCAAGTAATACAGATACCAATTACTGATACATTTTTGTTTATTGTCATGTGACAGTTTTTCTAAAACAATACAGACTAATGATTTCAGGACAGTGGTGGAGCGCCAGAGCCAGGTTCCAGCTGCAACCGCTGCATCCCTGGTAGTTCTCGTGAAAATGCCAAGTATCGGGACTGGTATCTGAACATCCCTATTGTACATGTATATAAAACTGCAACACCCAAAGAGGCTGTGTTCACTACTTACATTTATTGGCTGCACAATGTATAGCACTAACATGTGATATCTCTCTCTAATAATAATAAAACAAATGGCTTTTATTTATCTCACTTCATTAGAGTTCTGTTCACATTATATGGGTGGTGGGTTAAGTAGCAGTTTACATTGTCCAAGTCTTGCCAGGATTCTTCTAAAGACCCGGTGTGAGGGGTGGTTAAAACTTTCAACTCATCACACATCTGAAGATCTAAATAAATGACTTTATCTCTTTGTACAAAATGTCTGTCTCTTTACAGATCTGTACACACTTTTGTTGGAGGATATTCTGGTTTTGCTTCAGAAACAGGACGACAAATTGATCCTTAGATGTTACACTAAGTTTGTGACAACAACCTCAGACACCAAACAGATTTTCAGTCCCATCATCAAACTGAACACCGCGCTAGTACGACCAGTGGCAACAGGTCAGTCAATTTCTTCAGTGGTGGTGTCTTTATAACTGCAATCATACAAAGCTGAAATGGAACCACAGGCTTCAGTGTTAATCCTTCACCAACTGCATTTTTCGGGACAGGCTTATGAAACATAACTACTTTGTGATGTTAAGCACAATGATCTGTAGCTGGAGCGGATTAAAAAGACAGAGCGTCTAACCCTTTCAAAGCCAGAGTCTATTGATACCTAGGTGCCCATGCTGGAATTAGTGGCATAAGTATTCTTTCAATAACTTGACTGCATCTCTAATTTCCCTACCTAAATCACGTTTGCGCCAATTTTTGTGACATTTAAATAAATGTTTTTGGAACGTTGTTTTAATACCTTGCACAAAAGCTGATGGGGGAAAAAAATCTTTGTTGTAACTTAACAGCATAAATATCATTTTTATTTTGACAAAATTTTTTGTTAAAGCTGAACTCGAGGTATAATTTTGTCTGCATGCTTGGCCAAATGTAAGTATGCATATGTCACAGCCCATCGGCCACCAGAGGATCCTGTAAAACAGTGTAGTAGGCAGAGCTACTTCAGTGCTTTGCAGCGATCTTCTGGGTCCTGGTACTGCACTATTCTGAGCAGCTTCCACTCTGCTCTGAAAACAAAAGGGATCACTGATTTGGCTTATAGGCCATTAAAAGAATGTCTAGTATTTTTATCAATGTTTGCAATGCGTTCTCTGATTTGGATAAGGGGAAGTTCTCCAGTCTGCTCCCCGCGCTCCATCCTGAACTAATTTGCCATGGACCCAGGTCCACCAGAAGAGTGGTGCCCCAGAAAACCACGGCTGGGAGGGAGGTGGCCAGCAGAGTGGGATAGACCGTGGGGGAAGGGAGCGGCATGGGTTGGGACAGAGCAGCAGGCTACTTACAAGTCATGTAAGTGGCTGTACAGCCGCCAAAATTACTTGATCGGCTCCCCCACTGTACAGTTAGCCCTGCTTTCCTGAAGCAGCGCTAAAAGTAGGAAAAAAACACTTGCCTGTTCTCTGGTCCTTCACAGCCACGGCTGCTGCAGCTACATCTGGCGGCACGACTGGAGAACTGACACTGCTGTGCTACGAGGAGGCTGAAGTGCCTCCTCATAGCGCAGCAGAAGGCACGCGGCGACCCACAGGTTGAAACACACAGCTTTACAGGATCCCTCTGGATAGGTATGACATATGCATATTTATGTTTGGCCAAGCTGGACCAGTGTCAGTATGCATAAAATGTTATCCCTGGAGTTCGTCTTTAATGTATTTTGTTTTCTTTACAGTTTATCACTGCATCCTGGTGGCTTTTTCTGTTAGGGCAGGTCAGCTGTCAGATACCACATGGTCACAGGGTGCTGGCTGCTAGGTCTGCCATAAAACCTGTAATGATATATACTCAACATGGGGCATTGTGTTGAAGAACATTATTATACAGATTACAGGCAGGAAGAGGTTACAACCTACTACAATGATTTGGCATATTTAGAAATGGGTAATTAACCTGTTTTAGATTTATCATTCTGCAAACCTTAGCAAAAGTGTATCTTTAGCCCTCCCTAGATGATGCTGACATTACAGTACAGGATATTGGTTTCAGTTGCTGTGTAAAAGAGCGAAACATATAAAGGCAATTTTTACTGGTTATAATAATTTTAAGTTAGCTGGTAGTCAAAACATGGCAGCGCAGTCTAAACCCCTGAATAAGTCAGCCTTCACACTTTATTCAGGTTATGTGCATCCACCTACATTGGTGGAAACTCTGTGATTATCCATTGGCTTGAATTTCCTTGGAGAGTTTGCAAGTAACTGGAGTGGTAAATTTCATTTCAGAATGTTGTAGCGGTGGCTACAGAAGCAAAGCTTTTCTATTACTCATTAGGATCTCGACTGGTTGTTCCCTCATGCAGTACAAATGATTGAAATCACAGAAGATACATGTATATCACTTAGAGTACATACTGTTATAGTATCTTATACTAGTGTATATTACTGTATCGGTATCAGGGCACATCAATTGTTTCTCTGTACTGCAATTTTTAGTAGACTAACCCAAATCTTTTCCCTTAGGGCAGCTTTTGTTTTTTTGTTGTTTTTTTCTGTACTTTCAATGTGCTTTCTCTTCTTTCTTAGATAACAAGGGCCTCTTCGTAATTTCAATGTCTGAAAATGGGGCACAGATTTACGAGCTCATCGCCAACGCAATCTCTGAGAAAAACGTGTATGTGTTTACATCTCGAAATGTTACAGCTAGTGATCTTGATTTAATATAGCAGTATCTCCGGTCTAAGGGCTCATGCTATTAAAAGCTCTCATCTATGCTGGATATTTCTGCCAGAAACTGGCTTAAAAATCCAGATTAAAAAAAAAATTGAGTTTTGGTGTGTAATTACACATGTACTGCGTAGAGATGTATGCATGTAAATTCATTGGCTATAGAATATTTCCTTTAGCCACTAGAATAAATGTGCATGCATACATGCACGTTTACACATCGGTTATGCCAGGAAACTCCTCTCCAAAGGCAGATTTGGGACATTTTGTTTTTATGCCCCTGAACATTGCTTTAAAATATGGATCTTTTGGGCACATTGGCTAAAATAGGGCTACATTCAAGGGCTTATAAAAGCTGCATTTTTCCTGCCAGTGTGCATGAGGTTTCCACACACGTTTGAAAACAACCTTTTGAAAATCTGATGACATGTCTCTGATTATGGTACATGTTTGAGTGTGTTAATTTAATCTTGAAAGTGCTTAAAATTTAAGATGAGGGTACTCTTTTGGTATTATACCAAAGCACCAGAATCCCTGTGACTTTTTCTCTGTTTCTTGAACAGTTGGCAAGACCTTATAACCAAGATGGCAGCTGCATGTAAAGGGCAGGATCACAGGCCTGCAATTCCTCTAGATCCACCAGGAATTACAAATGAGTAAGTATGAGCAAGGCAAGTAAAAAAAGGAATCCGTTAAAAGCTTAAAGTTGTTTCGCCAAACAAATCTTTTGTTTCTTCTGTCTCTCAGGGGACATAGTGCATGTAGCACTTTGTCCCATTTTGATAGGAGCTATTGATGCTGAGCTAGTGTAATCAGCCGTATGCTCTCCTCTCCCACATTGCTGTCTGAACACACACTGCTCACAAGTTGATGAATAGCAAATTAGTTTTAATTGGCAGCATGCAGGGTATGAGCTGTCTGCTTGAGCCTCCTCTTCCCAGCGATAACAGAAGCAGCACAGGGGTCGTTACTAGTGATGAGACTGGGGTTTGTGTGAACCCAGTTTGCCCAAGCTTGTTCAACACTGTAAAAGACACTTTTACCTCCCGGCCTAATCGGATGTGGAGAGGTGCATTCCCCGCCCTGCAGTTATATGTCACAATGGGATTCTGCCACTATTGATTGGACTGAGACAGACTCATCACTAGTTGTTGGACATAAAGTTCTGCTGGAGCTAACCAATAGGAACACCCGCAAATTGGAGCTTCTGGCAGGGCAGGAACTGACGGGCAGAAATGAAAGAGGGAAAGAATGGATTTACTATGCAATCAAACAGCCTTTTTTTTTACACAATCAAACATAATTGTATGTACATGAAGGACTAGACCAGCAGTTAATGAAAAACACAATATTTAGAGCGCACTCCTGTAGAGCAGACACAACTCTGGAGGTTGACTACTGGTGGTGTGCGAAGCTCCTCACAACAGGGGGAGGGACCCTGTGTAACAACCCAAAAACAAAACACTTTATTGAGGAGCGCAACTACCTGAAATCACTATGGTAAATACATGGGCTGAACACTGCTTGTACAGTAATGTTGGGACATGTATATGTCAAATATGAGTGTGGACCACCAACCTATAACTGGCCCTATAGGATAAAAAGGATGTTAACTTACAGTTAGGATGTGGGGAAATGTGCCCAAAAATCTCGCCCGGGGTTCGCTTCAGGATCTGTTGCTTCTAGCTGGCAGGTGAGAGGTGAATGGCTGGAGAAGAGCTTGGCTAAATGGCTTGTTCCCTCCAATTATCAATTCTCGGCTGGTCTAAAGCAAATATGCGAAGGTGAGACAGCCCACGTACTCGGCTGGCCAGGCCGGGCCGCAACGGCTGGGGAGAGTGTACGGGGGAGAGCGAGGTGCCGCGGACAGCACTGAGGCGCCTGGTCCCGTGTGTGTTGGCGATACAGTTGGGCTGCTGTCTCGAGGTGTCCGGTACTCTCGTAGTCAGCGAAAGTCGTGAAGGACTGAACGGGGGGTGGAAATTCGCGGTGGGTGGATGGCTACGCGTTTTGAGGAAATTCCTCTTTGTCAAGCCACAAGATAGAGCAGTCCGCGGGAAAACGGTCCATTTTAAAAAAATGACAGGGGGGAGGGGTGGGTAATCAATTCGCCTTGTGATAGGTTCTTGCTCGAACGGGGGGAGGAACTTGTATCGTAGACTCGTCCGAGTATTGGAAAATACGTCCATCAGGCTAATACAACACCTTTGTCATGAGACATGTTATATCTTTTTCCGGATGGGCAGTATTAACGGGAGCATGTCTATGAGGATATTGTAGTCTCTCTAAAAAGCATAACATCTTTCTCCATCTGAGGGCTCGAACAGGAACGTTCAAGCAATTATTGGTTAAAAATCATATTTTAAAAACATTTTTTAATAAAGGTAATTGATGACAATACATTAAAATAACCCCAAATAGATAAAGAATGCATAATGAGGAAGTGTAATTTACATATATATGAAAAAGTCTAAAACAAAAGTTGAAATCAACTTACATGATGATAAAAATAGATATAAATATAAAAGCACCTCTAATTGTTAGTGCTTGGGCCTGTGTCCGCGCTGAGGTTCCCACGGGGGGAGAGAGCCACAAGTGTACACCAACACCTGTGTATATATCCCCAAAACGTGTGCACCTGGTGGGAACCACATGTACGTTCAGGATGCACATTCAACCACAAAAACGCACCTGTGTGCTTGTGGCTCTGCAAAATTTATTACTCATAATAAAAACTCTCTAATGTCACCTCAAACAAAAAGAGGGGGGAAAAAAAGGAAAGAAAAGGAGGGGGGAAAAGGAATGAAAGTTAATATGGATATATGATAATATGATAGTGATGCGGATAACGGGTCCACTATTGATTGCATAAGTATATGTTGGACTACAGAATGGTGTGGATCTCAAGTTCTTCGTTTAGCCCCACCGGGGCTAGAGTGTTTAATTTGTAGATCCAAAACGTTTCTCTACTGCATAAACGGCGGAATCTTTCAGATGGCGGTATTTGAGTGGAAATGTGCTCAATCGCAAACACCTTTAGGTCCAGAGTTCTTTTTTGGTGTTTGGCTGTAAAGTGCCTCGGGACGCTGTGCTCAAGTTCTCCATTCTCAATAAGCCGTCTGTGGTCTCCTATTCTGGCTCGCAAAGGACGTATGGTCCGGCCCACATATATCAGACCACAGGGACAGGTGAGCCCATATACCACGTGATCGTGTGAGCATGTGATGAACTGATTGATTTGGTACACCTTTTTCTTATGATCAGTAAAGTTGGTTTGTCCGTGTGTTATAAACTGACAGGTGAGGCATCTGGGCTTTTTGCATTGGAAAATGCCCACCCTATTATCAAAAAGAAAATTCCTTGGAGAGATGGCAGGTGCCTGGTAAGACGGCTCGGTCCTACTAGATTCTTCACATTTTTAGTTTTTCTAAAATTAATAGAGGGATTGGGGGGTAAGTTTGGACCCAATCTAGGGTCTTTCTGTAAAATGTGCCAATGTTTTTTGATCACTTTTTGGATGGTTTTGAAGCTATTGTTAAATGTGGTGATGGATCTAATTTCGTTGGAATCGGTTTGGCTATCACTCTTCCTTTCTATAGCTGGTGCAGGTTCAAGATATTTGGAATAGGCATTGGTGATGAGTCCTTCCGGGTAGTCCTTCTCTCTAACTTTTTTGAGGAGGAGTTGGCTTGATGTCAGTCGGTGTTTTGTGTACAATTTCTTCTTAATCTGCAAAATTGACTCTTTGGAATATTATTTTTCCACCGGGGGTGATGGCAGCTATTATAGTGGAGATAGGAATTCCCCCCGGTGGGTTTAACATGATTATTAGTGACAATTTTTTGACCTATAGAGTAAAGCTCTAAGTCTAGGAATACCAATCTCGTGGTGTTAACTTCATGTGTAAATGAGAGACCGAAATTATTATTGTTGCAATGTGACAAAAATTCTGAGACACTCTCAGGTGGACCGTCCCAAATGATTAGAATATTGTCGATCTATCTACCATAGTAAACCAGTTTGTTGGCATGGGGATTGTTAGCCCAGATGTGGAGAGCTTCCCAATGGCCCATGGTCAGATTCGCGTAACTCGGGGCATAGTTGGTCCCCTGTGTCTGAAGGTAAAACTTGTCCAAGAAGGAGAAGTAATTGTATGTTAGTGTGAAATTAGCACAACCTAGAAGGAACTGGACTTGATTAAAATTGGTCGAGGATTGGCCTAAAAAGAATTGTAGGGCATTGAGGCCCACTGTGTGAGGAATAGAGGTGTAAAAAGAACTTACATCTAAAGATACCCAACTGTACGCGGGGTCCCAGGTGTATGTGGACAATATGCTAATGAGGTGACCTGAGTCTTTGATGTAGGATGGTAATGAGGAAACGATTGGTTGTAGGAAGTGGTCTATGTACTTGGAAAGACCACTCATTAGGCTGTTGGTACTGGCAATGATAGGGCGTCCAAGGGGGTTTTGGCTATCCTTATGGATCTTGGGCAGGTGATAAAAGTAAGGCGTACTGGGATATTGTGGTTGTAAAAAGCCTTTTTCTTTTTTGTTGATTATGCCCTGGGACAACTAGATCATCTAGTTCTTTGGAGAAAGCTAGTAAGGGGTCAGAGGGGAGAAGTTTGTAGGTGATAGAGTCAGAGAGTTATCTGATGGCCTCTCGGATGTAAGTGGGGCGGTCCTGGATTACTATCCCTCCTCTTTTGTCCGCTTGTTTAATTACAATCTCCTCATTGTTTTCTAAATCTTTCAGTGCCCTATTCTCAAGTGGAGAGAGATTATTGTGGTGTGTGGCTTTCTTACACATCTCCAAGAGGTCCGCATAGACCACATGGTAAAATGTGTCTACAAACGGGCCCTTGGAGTGTATGGGAAAAAAAGTTGATTTAGGTCTAAAAGTGGTGTGAATGATGTCAGGATTAAGAAGATGTTCAAAATCCAATTCTAAAAAGGAATTCTGATCTGCTAGATCATAGAGGGTTTGTAACACATCTCCGTCTTTGTCATCGAAGATGTCGGTCACAAACTCTAGTTCGCAAGGAAAATTGGGGGGTGTTGCAGCGGAGGGTGTTTTTATAGGGATATTTGAATAGTGTCTTCTGAGGGTCAACAACCTAATGAATTTGTTGAGATCCTTGAAGAGAGTGAATGAGTCTGGTTTAGTATCAGGGGCAAAATTCAAATCTTTCCTCGAGTAGTGACATTTCACTGGGGGTAAGAATGTGTTTTGACAGATTAAAAATCTTTATTGTTGTTGTGGAGTTTCCAGTATTGGTGTTTCTTTTTTTGTCATTTTTGCTGCTTTTTCCTCCTCTGGTCCCTCTTCTCGTTTTTTTCGTTTTGTTTTCGGGGAATGTTAATGGCCCTGTCCTAAAAAAGGAATCGTTGGTTCATTGGGAAGCCCCTGTTGTTGACTATGTGGAACTGTTACGTCCTCTAAAAGAAGTTCTCTTTGGGTTTGTGCGATTAACACACTGTACTAGTGTGAATGAGCTCTCAAAAACACCAACATACATACACAATCAGACACTTACAGATGTTCTCACACGCACATACACACATTTTATTTTAAGGTCCACCCAGTCTCCCTACCTTACCAGAACTGGAGTGAATCCTCAGCATGGGGTCCATTTTGGGCTGCTGTGCTGTGA